AAAAAGTTCGTTATACGTCCCCAGTCGGCATCATTCCAGCCTGATCGAGCGTCGATTTTGCGCGTCCTAGTGCGTTCTTGGTGTGTCGATTTTTTGTTATAGAGTGTAGATAAGTAATCCGAACTAATTTGCACACCCAATATATATTTAGAATCCTTGACAAAAATTGAGTAAAAAAGAATGGAAAAAAACATTGCGCAATCGAAGTCACAAATTGCATTTCAAATCAAAATAATAATAAAGCAAAAGAAATAAATTAAATGAACTATAGTCTAATTTAAAAGTATTCTCACATCAAATATTAATGAAAAATATCAATCGTAAAATCTGTATAGACACTTGAGAAAAATGCAATAAAGATTTGAAGAAAAAAAAATTATTGTTCGCTTTTTGCAAATTAATCTCAACTTTATTTTTATAGATATAATACGACTGTGTCATATGATCTATCATTCAGCGTTTTACGGTAACCGCCTTTAATATATTGGGAGTACAAATTAGTTCGGTCCGTTTTTAAGAGATGGCTCTGCTGTTATGAATGTTTCATATTGACAGCTGGTTTCGGTGGTTTCAGAGAGGTTAAACATCTGTCAATAATATTCAGTTTATATCGCTTTGAGTTTCATACAAAAACCCTATTTTTTACTTTGTTGAGTATGTCAAGTTTTGTGGTAACGAAGCACCATTTGCGGGAGGTTTCATGTTGCTGCTTTAATTGGAAGAAAAGCACAGCTGAAGCGTATCGAATTCTTCTAGAAGTTTATGTTGACAATGCTCCAACTGATAAATCATGTAGGGAATGGTTTCGACGTTTCAAGAATGAATCCGTGCATTACGAGAAAAACGGCCGGAATACGAGCAAAGACATGACAAAGTTATTCTTCTGCCTAATAACGGTCAGTCTGACTTCGAAAAAAATTATTTGGAAACGCTCAAGTGGGATATTTTACCCCATCCGCTGTATACGCTGGACATTGATCCTTCTGATTACTGGTTGTTCCGACGGATGGAGCACGATTTGGCAGGTCACCAGTTCACTTCTTTCGCAGAAATCGAAAATTGGCTCCTAACTTGGATCGCCTCAAAAGACGGGACATTTTTTCGAAATGGAATTCGAAAATTGCCTGAGAGGTGGGGAAAAGTAGTAGTCAGCGATGGACAATACTTTGATTAATCTGTTCATTCATTTTATTCTGAAATAAATGCATTTTTGAAAACAAAAAAAAACGGACCGAACTAATTTGCACACCCAATAAATATTTAGAATCCTTGACAAAAATTGAATAATAAATAAAAAATCATTTGAAGTCACAAATTGCATTTTAAAACAATTTTAATTTTATTAATTTCACAGAGATTAGCCTAATTTCACTAGCATTTAAAATCAGATAAGATTAGTACTCCACCATTTTTTATATATCTATATACTTTATTTATTAATAAGTCGTGCTAATCGAAATCAAATTGAATCATGTTTATCGATTGTATTATAAATATTAAAATGCGAAGATAGTAATAACTGAAAAAAAAAATAAAAATAAATAATTTAAAGTTATAGCTTAATATTTACAATTTCTGATGGAATGCTCATTGTTTATGAATGAAACGTTAAGTAAAAAAATTTAGATAATGTAGTAAAAGATGTAAATGTAGTAAAAAAAAATACTAATCTTATTTGTTTTTTTAAAAAAAAACATTTATAAAAGTAATATGGAATTTGATTAAGTTCTTTTATTTCTCTATTAATTCGTCATCTCAGAAGCAAACGATACCTTGTTCGCTTTTCAATTTTTCATAATTTTTTAACAATCGTTTTCATATACGCTGTATATTTCCAATTATCGTTTGGAAAATTCTGTCAGTCGCGAACAAAACCAAAAGTATAACGTTCTAATAAGGGTGGGGCTAATGAACGTGGCCAATGAAGAGTTTTGTTTATATGTAGCTCCAATTCCAATGGCACCTCAACCTCGCGCAGATGTATAGGGTTTGAGGGGTAAAGGCTCCGGCGCCTTTTATTGTCCTTGAGTACAAGTGTTCGTTTTCGAATTATATTTTCAATTTTCATTCGAAATTTTTTTTCGTGTCGAATGTTTGGAAATCACATTTCGGCTTAGTAATGGCTGAAAAATACGTATTTGTGCAAGAAAAAGGCCAGAAAAAATATGGGCCTCCTCCTGACTGGTACGGCCCTCCGCCACCAAAGGGCTGCGAAGTTTTCATCGGAAAATTACCCCGTTATGTTTTCGAAGAAGAACTGATGCGTTTATTTTCGACAGTAGGCCGCATTTATGAATTTCGATTAATGGTTGACTTTAGCACATCCACCCGAGGTTTTGCCTTTGCGACTTACACCAATAAAGAAGACGCCGCCAAAGCTGTCAGAGCTCTCAATAACTATCCAATAAGATGCAATCGATTTATTGGTGTTGTTCCATCTATAGATAATACCAGGATCTTTGTCGGTGGCATACCACATACGGTCACTCGTGATATGGCGTTGAAAGAATTTAAACAATTGACTGAGGGGGTTGTTGGTGTCGAAATGAATCAAAATGCAATGGAACCTGGAAAAAACCGTGGTTTTGTTTTTGTGGAGTATGAAACGCATCGTGCGGCTTCTAAAGCGAGAAGAATTTTGTTTTCAGACGATTGCTTAGTCTTCGGAAGAAAAGTAAATGTCGAATGGGAAGATAGGACATCAGATTTAGTGGATTATAATACATTGAAAGTGAGTACATTGTTAAGAGTTTTGTCATTCAATAGATTTTTTTTACAATTTCATAATTGTGTACAGTTAATTAATTGTATTAATTAACAGTTATTGATTGTACACAATTAATAACTGTTAATTAATACAATTAATTTATAGGGACTGCGCTTTAGAGGTGTTGCCAAACATGAACATCGTACCCTATAGTATGAATTTTAATATCGTGATGTATATCGATATCAATATGAATTTTAATATCGTGATGTATATCGATATTTAACAATCGGAAATATAGCGTGATATTTTTCAAAGGCTATTATTTTATATAGATTTGTTGACATTCGTCAATTATTTCGCTACGCAATCAAAATTCATCAACTCTCACAATATCGTATTGAATAACTATCTCTAGGTATAATACCATTAATCGCGATACTATCATTTTGATATGTTATGTTATCGACTAATCGCAATTATATCGTATTCGATAGTTATAGTAATCAATGATGAACTCGGTATTAATGTATTCGATATTTATTGTTAATGGTTGTGATAATGTCTTATTTGTTCAACTTATGTATAGCCCGTATTATCGATAGCCAGTGATTAACGCTGTAGTTCCTAAGTATATTCCTATATATAATATATTCCCAGGGGTCTGTCCAGACATTTTGTGAAAGGTCCGTTTTTCGTGAAATTGTGAAAAAATTACTCACATTCTTTCAACCAGGGTCCGCTTTTATGAATTTGTGCAAATAGGGTCCGTTATTGCAAAAAAAAACTTTTTCAAGGAGTTTTTAAATTGTAAAGACATACAAGATTATGCTCAACACTGTAAAATTATAATTAAAAAAATTAAATTTTAAAAAATAAACAACAATTGCTGCTTCTAAATTAGAGATGCAACATACAAATATTTGGTATTTAGCCTATACTGCTGAACGCAGAATATTAATTTCGGACGAATAATGGAAGAATCGTCTGCCGAAGACAAAACTTAATTCGTTTACATCCATCTTTCTTGTTTTCTGCCCTGGAAAGGGTTTATTCGATTAACAAAATAATAATGAAGATAAACAAATTTGTGAAGGGTCCGATTAAAAGAAAAATCATTTTGTGAAGGGTCCGTTTTTAAGTTAAAATATTTTGTGAAGGGTCCGTTTTTATGAAAAGATATTTTGTGAAGGGTCCGTTTTTATGAAAAGATATTTTGTGAAGGGTCCGTTAACGGACCCAAATTTCTTCTAAACAGACCCCTGATTCCGTTATGGTTTTTATTACCTATGTCAGTGTTTCCCAAACTTATGACTTTTGTATACCCCACTCATAAAAAATGAATATATTTTTTTAAAAATATCTTTATTTTTACTATGAAAAAATTGCTCCAAAGTTAAAAATCACAACTGGTTGTTGACACCACTAATTATTAACTGTTAACTCTGCAAAAAATAGCCAATAGGAAAATACGTCATCGTAAATTTTCATGGCTAGCTTTGTTTTTAAGTAAAATTTTTTGAAATTTTCGTCTGTTGCAAGAGAACGCGTACCCCGGTTAAAATGTTCCCGTACCCCTGGGGGTACGCGTACCACACTTTGGGAAACACTGACCTATGTGTACCCTTAAGTTTGTGTTTTTTTACTTGATTACAAAGGGAAAGGTTAGTTTAATTCTATGAGACCTTAAAAGTTTGCTCATCACAGAAAGATAATTCCGTTTTACAAAATTAAATTATTTATCCTGGATGATTTCTGTATCGTGATGTGTTGAAACCAGGGGTTGGGGTTTTGGACGTCCTTAACTGGTTTTGGACAGGACACATGGATTTTACTGTCTTAAACTGGGTAAAACTGTCCAAAACCTTGTACTTTGGTAAAAGGTAAAAATTCTATAGGTGTAACCATTGTACACATAGTAATTACATGTTTCAATAAATATTTGATATTTTTTATACAATTTACTTTAACTTAACAAAAGAAAATAATATAATATAAATGGAAAAGGTTTATAATTTTTGAAGCTCCATAATTCATTGAACAACAAAAGTGAATACCTAATCCTTTAAATATAAATATGCTTTTAATACTGATAAATCACTGAAGTCAAGCATCACTGGCTACGGTCAGTGTGCGGGTGGGTGACCACTTGGATCAGTCTGCGTAGGGACCGAGGGTGTGCGGTATTGGTCCTCGTTAAACTGTGCTACCGTAAAGTGCTCGACTTCGCGCGACAGTCGTCGGGCTACCGAAGCGGCGGGTGCCATCCCCTCCGCAGAGGATCAAAATTGTGATGGCATGTCTTCGGATCATCCTCCGGGATGTTTCCCGACCGTCGCCAATAGCCCATTGTGCAGCTCTAGTGTGACGTAAAATTAACAACAACAACAACAATACTGATAAATAATATTTTTGCATAAGGATAAATAATGCAATATTAAAAAATAATAATTTTTTAAAAAAAAATACTAAATTTGTTTTAAAATTAACCTTTTGTTTTTCACAATATTTTTTTAAGGAAAATTTTATAATTTCTGCATCACAGAATGATAAAAAAGCCATCTATTTTTCAAAAAAATTGTGTTTAAATATAAATATATTAGTTTAAATTGGAAATACAAAATAACTGAAAATTGTATTAACAGTTTTGAAGGGCATAACATCAGTTTCAGTTACTGACACTGGTGATGTATCACCACTATGCTAAAAGAATTGAACATGAATAAAATAACAGTATTCTTGAATAGTACTATAGGTAAATAAACCTGTTTATGACAAACCAAGCACACTTAGTCCCTAATAGCTTAACCTGTATGGCAAGGCCGAACTTCAGTTATGTACTATTGAATGAGAGGACCAATTGAACTTGATCACTGATTAATCTTCCTTTGTTTAATGTTAAAATTGAAGAGTCAAGCAATGGTTATAAAACATTATACTTTTAAAAACAAATATTTTGTAGTAGATTTAATTATCAATATGTTATTAGTTCTATGTTTATTTTACCTCTTAAATATTGTTCAGATAAAATTGTGATATAATTTGAGTAAAATGGTTTTGGACAGGACGGTTTAAACCTTGGATTACTCCATTCTGTCCTAAACCTTGCCAACCCTGGTTGAATCGTATCGTTGCGAGCAGAATAATTGTTCCTCAAATAAAAAAATAAATAATTAAATAAAAATTCTCAGAAGGGACCAACTTAAAAAAAAAATAATAATAATTTGAAATTTAAAAATTTACTTAGCGCCTTGGCAGTTATAGTCGACTAAACAGATCACGATTCGAGAATATCTCCTTTCTTCTTTTTAGTCTTATTGAAAAAGTAAAATTTCTTATAATTTTCATTATTTACCTAATATTAAATTAGAGTCTGTTAGTTTGAGGTTAGTGTGTGGTTGTTTAAAGTGGTAGCGATTAAATGGCTATTGATTTTACCTGCACTGCTCATAAATCAATTAAAGTTTATGACTTAAAGTGTAGTAAAAATTTCAATAGCTGTTAAAATGACGATTAATTTCACCTGCACCGTCTATCGTTTTATTATCTATCTTTTTAAAATGGACATATCCTGTATTTCTTAAAGCTATTTTATTTAATACTAGTCGAAAAATTTGAATTGTAAAGTATATAATTTAATGTAAGTTTAAATACAAAATCTGAGCGAAATCGATCGAATAGTTCCTGAGAAATTGAATTTCAAAAAGTCGTATTTTAAAAATGACTTTTTCATACTTTAAAAAACGAGGTAAAATTCAAGAAATATTAATAAACTGGAAAAATCGGGAAAACTATGGAATATAACCAAAATTCCCTATAGGGCAGGAAAAATGAATAAATTTACATGTACTGTACTATACTTACAAGTCTGACCGATCTATAAATTGGTTGAGAATTTATCGTCATGTAAATAGTACCACAGATCAATTTTATGTTTTATATATTTATTTAAAAAAATAAATAAATAAACTTTATTGATTACCTATATTTCCACCTTTTCCAAAGCTTTTTTTTCAGAAAAATTTGTCTTATTCCAATTTATTATAAATTAAAAAAAAATGTTTTTTCAAACTTAATGGCAAGAATAAGTGTTTAGATGCATTTCATGTCTAAGAAAGAAGCTTTACTTAAAAATTATTAATAAAATTTTATGCACAGGTTACATAAGTGAGGGAAATTCAGCAAAATCAATCTAAAAAAACTAAAGGTCAGGTTTTTTTTATAACTAAATATGGCTAACCTATATTAATGCATACAAATGTTTCAGCTTTCTTTTTATTCAAATGCATAAAGTTTTAAGGATCTTATGTTGGCGCTTTCTTACGCGCTATAGCGTGTCAAATTCCCCATTGAGGGGAAAAATTGCGCCAACAGATTTATGTCCGTAGAATTAAAACAAACTTTAAAAGAACAAAATATTATTTATTTCTTTTTCTGTATTAATTACAGCTGGAGAAATTGAAAATAATAATGATATCAAATTACAATCAAATCGAAACAAAACATTGACTTCAATAATTCTTTCTTTGTTTTGAAATTCTTTACCATTTAATGGGTGAGAATACTTTCAAAAGCGATCTATAAATGAGTAGAGAATTAATCGTCTGCTCCCATACATCTCAACTCAACAATATCACAAATCAATTTTATGTTTCATTTATTTATTTAATTTTATTGAGCGCCATTCCCGTCTATTCTTTAGATTTTTTTTTTATTAGTAATATTAGTAGTGCAAATTTATATTATTTCACGCAGAATTATGAAAATATATAATATGTTTTAAATGATTTATATAATTTTTAACAAGGGTCCTAGATCCTAAGAATATAATAATTTTAGCGGAATCACTGTACTGTATTATCACTTTTGTTTTCAGATTAACTAACTGAACTATTTTAATTAGGAAATAATAGTCTGGAAATCGGCAAAAACTATATTTTTTTAATAAAAAAATGGGAAGAAGTAAGTCTCTTAAAATTTCACGTGTGTTTTAAGTTTTCTTTCATTTGTATGTAAGTAATTGT